CCCCCCCCCCCCCCCCCCCCCCTGATGGTTCGACAAGGCAGCGCCCTAAAGCCTATGAGCCCTGAAAACACTAAACCCACCGACTCATCCGATGAGGTTCAGCGCTCTGAAGATGCAGATACAAGAGCAGGTTGTTTTCCTGAATGCGCCGCGCGGCCTCCGTCTGAGCTCGGGTTTGGGCTCGCAGGGTCTTGTAGCCGATCGAGAGTTTAAGGTCCAAAGAACAGCTTCCGGTCGTAGGGTCTTTACGGCTTTAGGGCTTTAGGGCTTTAGGGCAAAGGTACTTGAAAGAGTTGCGCAGAAGTTGGTGTGAACAATGCACCTCAGCCTGCAGCACTTGCTGGTCAAATAGAAAGTCGCGCGGTCAAATGCTGCAAGAGCGACTGGCAATTGAGCCGCCAGTAATTGCCTAGTACTGTTTCCAGCCTGGAGGTTATCAACTTTGCAGACATATCCCCCGAAACCTATACTAATCACCAAGGCCCTATATTCTCTGAGGTTGGCCAGGGACTTCCTCCTGGAGCCCAGTCAGATCTTACAACTGGGCTTTGAGCGCGAGATAGCCGAGGAGGTGCATTTGTCTAGCATACTTGCATGTGACAGATTTTGTGTACCCTGAACCCTTCACCCTACGCCTGATTTCACAGGTTGTGTGGCGGCTTCTACCGTGCACTGCGGGAGCTAAAGAGCGATATCTCACGATCTTGGCCGCTCCGACTTTTAGCACCGTGGCTTCGAATGTTTTAGAAGAAGGCGTCCAATGCTGGGGTTTGGGGGCTTGGAGATACCCTGAGACTCAATCATCGGAATATCAAGTGAGACGAATCTTGAGACGCAAGCGCTAAGTATACCCCGAATGTGTATGAATGTGTTGGAAAACGATTGCAAAATCCTGACCGGAAGTCGTGCCCAAGGACTGCTAACCATGATACTAGTAGTGGCAGCAAAACGCAACTAGTAGGAATAAGGCCGTATAAATTACTGTATGGTCCATCATTGACAGCCATCGCTTTTGCTAGCATCATGCAGCATTTCGGACTCTGATTGTGTTTGCGGGGACCCTGCTGTCTGGCATCCACTTTTGTTGTCGACCGCTGGAGTGCGCTGCATCAGGAGCGTACATCTCGGCGCTGCAGCATTCACACAGCCTTCTGAACCTCAACGTGCAGAATCCGAGTGGCCACTACAGCTCCTCGTCCGCGATGTACAGAGGCTCAGAACCCTTCAACTCAACAGCATCCCCCCAAGAATCCCGAGACTTTAGCCGGGCTGCTTGTTTGATGCCGAGCTTCTACTGAAGATCAGCCCCCCTCCTGCTCATACTTTGGGGGTTCCAGGCATAGCCTTAAATCCCAAGATCAGAAGCCAACCTTAAAGCCCCAAATCAAGTGAAGCCAAAGAACAGAAAGGTCTGCGAAACTAAATCTCCTTTGCAGGCTCAGGGTGCAGGTCAAGGCTCAGGGTGCGGGTCAGGCCAGGCTCTTAACTTGATGTTTAGGCATTAAGTGTAGGTCCTGTAGGACTGTTATGTCTTACCGTAGTGAGTATATTGCCACTCAGTTCAGGCGCAGCCAAAGATGGATCATAAGCCCCATCAGCCCTAAACCCCTCAACCCTGAACACCTATAGGACCTAAGCCCTACAAGCCCGAAGCACCCGAGGGCTGGACCTCGCGAACCCTTCGGACGCCTTCGTTGGGCAGCAGCTGTTGCGCCTCGATCGATGGGAAGGTGTCCTGCGACAGGACCCGCGGCTTTCAGCGTGGGGTCCATATAGGCTTTAGGGTTTAGGAAAAGCCCTATAACAATCAGGATCCTGCTTTTTGTCTAAGCCCACATCGCTGTTCGAGTTTCGACAGAAAACGCAGACTTTCGTTACTGGTTGAAATACAGGGGGACGCGGACCGAGACTACCACACCGGCAACTGCCATTACTCTGCCTGCCCGCCCCAGCCCAGTAGCTTCGGAGGACGAGATCCATCAGCCAAACCGAAATTGCCTACAGACCAGATATCCACTCGCGTAAATAGGGGCCTAAACAATTACCTATACTAGTTTGGGGGTTCCTTATTACGTACAGTTGTAGTATAATATACCCCACCGGGACCCCACCACCCTATTCTTATCAGTTATAAGGCCCCTAGATTACGTTCTCGTCATCCGTGGAACCCACGGCAGGAGCTGCGCCGAAAGGACACCTCCAGGATGTGCCTCAACGGATTGTGAGATTTTGGTCTAGAGTCCGCGTTTCAAAACTTCCCCGGGCCATTGGATTTAGCAAGATATGGTTAGACCTTTATGGCCCAGCAGGTATTTATGCTTTGGGAGCTTAATTGAATGCTTCATGTGGACGCATACTGATTCAAAGACTCCCGATGTCGAATTTCAAACCCTAAACTCGGAAATCCCGAAACTATGAACCCGAAAAGCCTGAATTGTGAGCCTCTTAGTGCAAACCATCAGGTGGTGAACTGTCAGGTTCAGGGAGCTTTGCTGGTTGGATGGCAGCTACTGACGGAAAACGCCTCCAAACTCAAATTATAATCCAATCATGATAGGAAGCGAAATAGTATAGGTAATTATTTAGGCGCCTACATTATGGATCCAGCTGAGAATCGAAGTCCAAAAAGCTCCAGGTCCTCTTGGATTCCTGATCCTTTCGGATCTGTATAGCCCCCTTCGCCTAAAGAACACAGGACGCACAGACCCGCGCGTGCAGGATTCTCAGTAAGTGCTTGGTGACAGGACTGAGGCTAATACAGGTAGTGCCTGCCGGAGTGCAGGTTGCATGCTCATCCCACAGCACCTAGAGGTGTCTGGTTCTGTAGATTTGGGAATTAGGGTTTAGGGTTTAGGGTTTAGGGTTCTGGTTCTGTAGGTTTGGGAATTAGGGCTCCTCATCACGAAGCCCTTTAACCCTGACCCGTTGAGCCCCCTAGACTTATGCACCAAGCAACGGCATCCCAAAGCCCTAAACCACAAACCCCAAATTTTAGGGTGTAGGGTTTAGGCCCTAAACCACAAATCCCAAATTTGGGGTTTAGGGTTTAGGCCCTAAGCCACAACTCCCAAAGTTTAGGATTTAGGGTTTAGGGTCCCTGGACCGTAAACACTACCCATAGACCCCTAGTAGTTCCTTTTGGGGATTACCTTATAGGATTCTAAATATGAACCCCAAACAGGAACTACTGTGGGGCCTATGGCTAGACCCATCAGATTCCTCTTTTCGAGGTTCAGCTCCTGCATCTTCAATGCTCTCTACCTTGAGAAGCGGATCGACTCAGGCGCCGGGCAGCGGTTCGATGGCGAATATACGTGCCTTAATAATTTAGAAGAGGGTTTTGGGGTATATTATACTATGATTGTAATAAGGAGCCCTCAAAATATTATTGGTAGTTATGTAGGCCCCATATTAAGCCGAGTTAGGTGTTTTGCTGGCGGAGAGAGGCGGGGCATGTAAACTTGTAAACCGTCTTCGGTCTAGCAACCCTAAACCGTAAACCTTAAAACCCTAAGCCCTAAACCCTAAGCCCTAAGCCTTAAAACCCTAAACCCTAAACCTTAAAACCTTAAGCCCTAAACCCTTAGCCCTAAATCCGAAACCTTAAAACCCTAAACTCTAAACCTTAAGACCTTAAAAGCCCACACCCCCAGCGACTTCAAAGGGGAGGAGCTCTCGTGGGGCTTTGGTCCGTGTTTCTTGGAGGCTTCGGGAGATCCGGGGCTTCCATAACCAGAACAGGGTTTAGGGTTTAGGGTTTAGGGTTTAGGGTTTAGGCAGGGGGTTCCCGATTATAGTTATGGTTTAGGGCTTTTGGTTTAGGGTTTAGGGTGTAGGGTTTATTTAATTGGAATAGAATATACCCCCAAAAGCGTAATCGGATTGTTAAGGCCCCTATGTTAAAAAAACAATTGTTCTAAGGGTTTTTCGGGGTTTCCAGGATTCCATGTTATGTTTTGCAGCTTGGCTGAAGATGTCAGTGGGTTTTTGTTGGACTCAGGGGCTCACGTAGTAACTGTCGCATAGACCCTTTATCATATGTAGATCACCTAGGACCTTGGAAGCTGGACAAGTAAGGTGTAGGATGGCCTAAGAGCCGCCTCAGTGATTCCAGCGCCCTGCTTTCGCCCATCGGTATCACGCCAAACCCTAGCGCCTGAGGCGTACCGATGTGGACGGAACATAGGGATATCCAAAACCAGCTGGTACAAAAACCGGAAGCCCGAACCCTAAGCCCTAAGCCCCAAAAAATCCCCAAGGCCCGAGAGAAGCCTTCCCCAAAACCGCCGAAGGCCCGATGAACGATTGGCCTTGGCCCGAGCATGGACTTCTGGTGCTCGACTATGCCAGTGGCAAGCGGCCAACCGCGGAGGACCGTTGTACGGCTGATGGACAAAATCCTGCATGACCTTATATACCTAAACTATGGGATTTATGGTACTATACTATATTTGGATCATGCAGAACTTCGTCCATCAACAGTAGGCCCTGACGAAACCTTACAGTCGTCATAAACCAACTGGCAATTGGAGACACCTTCAAGTTCTTTTTCGGTCGTATACAGGGTACCTATTCATGAACATTTCTGGGGCCTCTTTCAAATCCTCCTAGAGCCTCCTCAGCTAGAAGCCCTGAGTCCCCAAACCCTAAACCTTCAATCCCAAAACCCTCAGCCCAGAACCCTCCATCCCTCAACCTTCAATCCCGAAACCCTCAGCCATAAACCCTCAATCCCGAAACCCTCCATCCCTAGACACTAAACCCTGAAACCTAAGCCCAGAGAGTCTCGGTCCTTTCAACCCTTACGGCTCTTAAACCCCTTCAGAGACTCAGGGGATGAAAAACCTGAGAACTCCGTTAAAACGTGTAACATTTTATATAACAAAAATCACAAAAAACAACAACAACAACAACAA